GATTAAAGCCATTAGAGCCGGGAGGAAATAAAAATGTGTCTGAATTTTACATGTCTCGCATTTTATAGCAGGCGCCCAGCTGAAGCCGGCTGTTTAATTTTTACACCACGAAGGCATGTGATGAGTCTTGTAACAAATTAAACTAGTTCCTCCTCAACAACCTGGTTTGGGCTCTAAAAAATTCTGTAGCAGGAAACCTGTTGGTCAAGTCATACTTTTACTTATTTATATACTCCTCTTTGCTGCAAAAATATTTTCATTTATTTTTATACCCCTCTTTGTTGCAAAAATTATTTTAAGAGGGAGTTGAAGAATGTGTTGGGGCATGGGTTCCAGGTTAAGAATGAACCTAGAAACACCCGTATCAACTTACTTTTATATGCACTAAACTAAAAAAAGATTGCACAGTAAATATACCAGACGTAAGTGATGTTAAATGATCTAAAACTGATAACAGAGGCGACCTGACAATTATTTTCTGTTGGCTTACCGGAAAGCTTCAGAGTCTCGTTCTCCTCAGCTTAACCGTAGTTATGTGGCTAATAGTTTGTATCCTTGAAATGTTCAGTGTTTTTCTGATTCCGTGATGTGGAATCATCAGCTCCCTCTGTGTTACTGCATTTCAGGGTAACTTAGTGCTTGAAAGGGGAGATGCTTTGAGTGTCTGTTTAATCTAGTTGGAACAGTAGGGTAGGTATCTCTTTAAACTCCCAGATCCCTGGGCTCTGCCCCTGATTGCACTTCCTGGTAAAGCATTTTTCTTTAATCTCTCTTTTAGCAGCCTTCTCGCCCTACCTGCACAGATGGGTCTCAATTTCTTTTCATCAGCTTCCTTTCTTGCTTCCAAGCCTGCACTCTAAAAAAATCTCTATTCTTGTCAGGCTTTTAGCTTTGCCTTTCTTTCTCTTCTGCTCCCGATGTATCCAAGTCACCCTGTGTGTGCTGAACTGGAATATCACATAGATAGGAGCAGTCACGGGGCAGATGTTATTGTATTGGATTTATGGAGAAGCATAAACAGAGCCACACCTAATGACAGTATTTCTTCTAGTGGATAATGAATAGCCTGTGGTAGCCAGAACTCACAGCATGTACTATGTACATATAGACATTTCATGTATCAACTCTCTCCTGTTGTCTGTTAGCTTAGATCTGTCAAATATCATAGATCAATAGATAATATTCCGTTGACCTCATTGGGTTTATTCCTAATCACTTACCTGAGGAATGAAAACTCTCAAGCTTGGTTGGAGCTTTTAGGGGCTGAAGTAGGTCTTTGCATATTCTTTTCCCCAAGAATTTTTGAGTATCACTTTAACATCCTAAATAGTTAAATAAAGATTTTTTAGCTTGAGAACAAAGTTGTCACTGCAGGCTTTGTATATTCCTGTGCTGGACTGATGCACATTAAGTGATGAATTATCTTTAATTTGGGATATATAGAGCTCTAGATGTGGGCGTGCACGATGTGCCTGTGTCTATAAAAATGTTACTTCTCCAGGCTTTTTTTGCAGATCAGTTTTAAATCATTGCACAGTGTAGCTGCATTTTAATTTCTGATGGCAAAAGCCTGTGAAGTTCAGTTGCCTCTAGGCCTGCTGAGTGATCAGCAAGTCAAATGATTTATTTGGTATCCAAGGGGTGTGTGGGGGCATGTGAGGGGTTGGGGGTGGGGTGGGAGGTACGAGGAGAACCCCCCCAAATTCTTGGTTCTTGCCCTCAAGCATCCTGGAATCCTCTAGGGGCCCCGGGCATGTGTTCACTGTGTGGCCCAACACTTGCTATTTTGCAAGTCAGTGGGACATGCTCGGAGACGGGCTGAGTGATGGGGTAATTAGAACCAAGCAGACAGCGGGGTGGATGGTTTGTCTGCAGATAATAGCTTGTTTGCTATTTGCCAACACCAGATTTTCTGGGCAATTAGACATTTGGTTTCTTCCAAGACCTTCTGTGCAAATGTGGACACATGGCCGCAGGCCTTCCAGGTAGCAGGTGGAGAGAGGGAGGCTCCCAGTGCAGGATGGCATCTCTGCAGGCTGCCCACGAGGCTGTGGGCGGGGCAGACTTCTCATCAGCAGGTGCAAAGGGGCGTCTGACTGGGCCTCCTAGTGGTGAGGCCAAATGCTCCCTGCTTTCCTTAGAAGGGGGTGCCCTAGTGGTAAGAGATTAGCAAAGAAGGCGGAGTTTAGCAGGCTGGTCCAGGAGCCAGGCTTACGTCTCCACTCTCTCGAGAGCACTGAGCTAGGGATCCTCATAGGAACTGGAAATGGCTTCCCCTCTCAAGCTGTGCAACTTGATTTTTTTTATTGCAGTAAAGTATATATAATGTAAAATTTGCCAATTTGACCAGTTTTAAGTGTACAAATCAGTGGCATTAATTGCATTCACAGCGTTGGGCAACCATCACCGCTCTCTAGTTCCAAAGCTTTTTCATCATCCCAAACAGAAGCTCTGCATTCCCCGTTCCTCTGCCTCCCCACAGCCCCTGGTAGCCTCTAACCTACTTTCTATATCTACGAATTTGCCTTTTCTAGACATTTCATATAAGTGGAATTGTACAGTTCTTGCCCTTTTGTGTCCAGCGTATTTCACTTAGCATAATATTTTCTAGATTCATCCATGTTATACCATGTATGAGAATTTCGTTCCTTTTTACAACTGAATAATATTCCATTGTATGTTTCTACCACGTTTTGTTTATCCATTCATCTGTTGATAAATCCTTGGGTGGTTCCTAATTTTTGGTTATTGTGATCAATGCTGCAATGACATTCACATACAAGTATCTGT